CAGGCTGGAGTCTACTTCTTGTCGCCCTTCTGCGCGTCGCCCTCGTCCGCCGCCTCCGGGGCCCGCTCCAGCTTCTGCTTCTCCAGCTCCTCCTGCTCGCATTTGCTGCTGGGGAACTTGTCTTTGTTGTTCTCTTTTTTCCACTTCATCCTTCGGTTCTGGAACCAGATTTTGACCTGTCTCTCTGTCAGTCCCAGAGCGTGCGAGACCTCGATCCGCCGCTTGCGAGTCAGATAGGGATTAAATAGAAACTCCTTCTCCAGCTCCAGGGTCTGGTAGCGGCTGTAGGTCTGTCGGCCTCGCCTGCGTCCGGCGGCTGCTGGGAAGGGGGGAAAGGGCGAGGCGGAGGGGAGGGGAGGGTGGGGAGGCGAGAGGAGGGAGGAGGGGCAGGGAGCGAGGAGAGAAGGTTGGAAAATTCGTGAACCGGCCTAGGAGACCCGTGTAATAGGGCAGGGGACCTTCTACCCCGCGCGGGGGGCGGGGGCGCAGGGAGGCCGCGGTCAGTGGAGGGGGGCCAAGGGGGGATCAGACACCACCGGACCTGTGGGGGGCGGAAAAGGGGGAGCCCCCTCCCCTGCGAACCAGCACCAGAGAGTTAAGGGTGGTGGTAATGCTTCAAATCTCTTAAAAGTGTCATAAACTTTAGAAGGAAGGATGTGAAGGAGAGGGGGGCAAGGAATGAGGGAGAAAAAGCCGGGTGGGGACGAATGGACCCACCTTGAAAAGCCCCCAGAGTCTCTGCCCCAGAAGAAAAGTTTCTTCAGGGTAATTAAACTATAAAGCAATTGAGAAGTGCAGAAGTTGAGCGCCCTCATTCCCACCACCCTCTCTCCACAACCCCCCATAAAACAGTAAAAGGGGGGAAGAAGAAAAAAAGTAAGGCGGGGTGAGGGGGTTTATGGATTCAGGAAATGTCGCTTGGCGACCCCCCCTTCAAGGGAAACAAACAAACAAAAATGCAGAGGAAGAAAAAGAAAGAAGGAAAAGAGAGCGAAAAGGGCGAAGCAGGAGGTGATGGATGGAGCGAGTGGGCGAGTGGGTCTCGGGGCGGCTGGGGGAGAGTGGCTGGGCAGCCCCCCCAGATCCCGCCCTGCCTGGCCCCGGCCCCTGGGTCCCTGGCCCCCGCCGCGGACTCACCTTGCGGGCGCATCCAGGGAAAGAGCTGCGTGGGGGACGGGCTCTGCTCAGTGCCCTCGGCCTCCTCGCCCAGGCCGCTGGCGGCCGCGAGCTTGCAGTCGGCGTATTGCACCAGGTCGGGGTCCTGCGCCCCGAACAGGCTCTGGCGCTGCAGCGGGTCGTAGCCGTAGAAGTTACCGGGGTCCCCGTGGCACGCCACGGCGCACGGGTTCTGCTGGTAGGGAGCCGTGGACAGCGACGACGGGCCGTGGTAGAACTCCTGGATTTGCGACGGGTGCTGGAAGCTGCCGCCGCCGCTGGGCCCGTACACCACGGTGGGTCGGCCGCCCAGCTCCTGGGCGAAGCCGCAGTCATAGTAATTGGGGCGCAGGGACTCCCCGGTTTTGTATTTGGAGAACAGTGAGTTGACGAAATAAGAGCTCATTTTATTGAATTTTGAGGCGGCGGCGGCGGCGGCGGCTTGTAGTTGGGGGCTGTTGGGGAGGGGGCGGGGAGGGGGAGAGGGAGGGAGAGAGAGAAAAAAGGCGGATTCGCCGGCTCGCGGTCACCCTCGCCAGGCAGGGAGGAGGGGAGAAGGGAAAAGGAGAGAAGAGGAGGAAAAGGCGAAGAAGGGCTGGAAGCCGCCACACTTTTTGTGATTTCCAGGAATAGAAACGGAGAGCGAAGCCTCCGAAAAGTCTCGGCGCGGCTCGCAGGGCAGCCCCGGCGCGCGCCCTCCCCCCACCCCCCCGCCCCCCGCTCCAAAATATACCGCCACTTAAAGAGGTCCTCGCTTTACATTTCCAAGAAGGGATGCCAGTTCATAAACAGTTTTCGGTGATTTACTTCCCTGCAAATGAGTTGTTTCATATTTTGCACTGTCTTTTCATGATCATTTGCATCCATTAGAGACCCCGCATCCTATTGGCTTCTCTGTACTCCTCCCGGACAGAACGCAGAGCGAGGGCGAGAGCGCGAGCGAGCGGAGAGAGCTAGCGAGGGAGAGGGAAAGAGAGAGAGAGAGAGACAGAGCTGGAGAGAGAGCGAGAGCGAGCCCGAGTGAGGGGAGAGCGCAGAAAAAGGAGGGGATGGCCAAACACCCGGGGAGCGCGCGGGGGAGAGGGGGAGCGCAGGGGGAGAGGGAGAGGGGCAAGCGGAGGATGGATGCCGATTAAAGCTGTTTAACTACCTACATTAATGAGATATCTCTCGCCTCACAACAAATCAAATACCTTCGCGGACCACCCCCAAAGACTGATGTGGGGGAGCCGTGGAAAAAAACCACGCGCGCGCACAGACCCAGCGTGCCAGGCGCAGGCACGCTGTTAATTTCGCCGTTTTAACGAGGCAGTTGGAGTCTTTCTAAATGTCAGGGTCGCTTCGGAAAAATGTAAAAGAACACGGTTTAATTGCGCCGAGTTTTAAAAGGTCCTATAAATGTAATTGGTATTTTAATACAAGTTATCAAATCATACAGCTTCCTCTCCTAAACATATTTTCAAACAAACGAGGTAGTCATATTTAAAGCTTTAATGATCAATTTCCTTATTATTGATAAAGGTTTAACTATCGTGCAGAGGGAATTGACTGGGTAACTGGCCCCCAAAAAACGGCTGTAAACTCTTTAACAAACTATAAAACGCAATAAAGCCGGAGTCTGTTGTTGTTTATGCCGCAGCGCATAAAAGCTGTTAGCATTTTACGAGTTCTTTCCTCCACAGCTATAAAAAACTGCAGCTTCGATCGCCCCGCCGCCTGGCTGCGGCGCGGTGGGGGTGACG